AGGGAAATCCAGACTGGAAAGTTTGCTATCTTTGCAGGCAAATCTCCCAAGAATTTCTAGAACTGCATGGTTGGTGGCTGATTTAAAAAAAAAAAAAATTATGCAGATAGTGAAGTGACGTTTTAAATGAGAAATGTTTACTTTTAAGTGCCGTGCCTAATAGTTGTTGGGGGTTGGGAGTTGGATCTCCCTTACAATCTACTCGGCTGGTTTAGCGTGGATAGAATGGTTTTGGTCCTTTTTCACAGCCACCATGACAAAGAATAAATTTTGTATAGTTAATTTGCAAAAGTGCACAGTTAGCTGCGCGGGCAACTCATTGCACGCAGCAAAGTTTCCAGTCTGGAGGGAAATAAGGCAATCAGATGGGGTGATGTTCATGGATTTCCTAAGAATGGCTGGAGTAACTCAGAGGGGTAAGGTCACTTCATAAACGGTACCAATGCTTTCATTTACACCTTTTGTGATGGGAAATAACAAGAGATTCGGGCATAACACAGCAACTTTGATCAAAAGGAGGAATGAAAAACTGCAAGACTGGATGGCTGTAGGAAACATTTTTAAAAAACCTGCGCATTTTCTTACTGCCACAAGCTTTGGAACTAAATCGCCACCTAAGCTAATAACAATCCTTCATGCCCCATCTGAATCCCCCTTTTTTTTAGCTTTACAAAGAAACCGAATTCACCATAACGACCGATATCCTAATTTCAAAAGCATAAGCCTATGAAACCGACGTCTAAAATCCCAAACCACACATCCCTCCACGGCGTTCTAGCATCACCTCCCTTCGAACAAGAGTGAAAATATCGCATAAACATCGGAAATAACACAAAGTTAATGAATAATTAAGCTCCTTTTTTTACTCTCTCCTTGAGGGGAAAAAAGATCGACTGCAAATGACGCAACTTATAAGTCGCTAATCCTCCCTCTAGAAACACTTAATCGACCTAACAAATATATTCCCAAAGACCAAAATACTCTTGTAATTCTTCTCAAATGATAATCTACGCATAAACCGACCTGTGCCCCTCTCCTGGCGATGATTTTCTCGGCGAAGAGGACTCCCCGGTACATTGCGGCGGCCATGTTGAACAGCTGAGACAGAGAGGCCGGGGTCAATATGAAGTCTATTAATAACACAAACGGTCCAATAATCTATTTTGAAAAATTGATTTTATATGGCTATTTATTTGATTACATATGTCATATTCTTCCATGTAATGGACTAGCGTGTGATCAGTAACTATGACAACTATGAAAACAATTTTTTTATTTCATTTACAATATGGTGTTTTCCCGCGCTCTCTTTGAACTAGAGAGAAAACTTTCTTTCTCTGTCTCTCTCAGACAGCCATGTATACTCTGTATACATGTATATATGTACACATATATATATATGTATACATATATGTATATATATATATATATATATATATATATATATATATATATATATATATATATATATATATATATACATATTATATATATATATATATATATATATATATATATATATATATATATATATATATATATATATATATATATATATATATATATATATATATATATATATATATATATATATATATATATATATATATATATATATATATATATATATATATATATATATATATATATATATATATATATATATATATATATATATATATATATATATATATATATATATATATATATATATATATATATATATATATATATATATATATATAT